CTTAAATTGCATATCACGGCAGACATCTCAAAATACATAGTCTTCTGGGGGCTAAGCATATATTAATACATTTTGGTAGAGAGGAATATAGGCCTACTGTCATATAGGTTATGTTATCGGGCATCCTTCTAACTCCCTTGAACAACCAAGATTGAACTTTTGAACTCTTTATAATTTCTATTATCTAGTCCAGTTAAAGTCCAGGGGAGGAAGCCCCATCATCGTAAAGAGGATACTAATGTGATGTGTGTAGTTCTTCATAGCCTCTTCATTTTGCTCTCAAAGTGCACGGAATTGATGGATTTTTAATAGAATGTAGAAAAAATTTCTCCCGGGGGGGCATGCCCTCGGACCCCCCTAAAGGGGCCGTGTTCCCCTTGGGGCTAAGCCCCCCTTGTTCTTGAAACCTAGTGACGCCCCTGGTCCAACACTCTTGTTGGTCTGACAGCCTGTCAGCCTGTCAGACCAACAAGACGTCTTTTCCGGGGACCTAAATAGTGTCCTACAACTACAGGAACTACAATAAAACTCACCAGATATTAAAAGATTAATTTGTCGCTAGTTGTTTACAATAAAGAGTGTCGCTAAAATGATTAGGAGAAGTCTCCAGCTCAACTCAGAACAGAATGCGAATTGAAAAATTGCTCACACGGATGCCCACACTAAAAGGTCGGTGATTGGCTCGTTTCTATGTCAATCAAACTGGCACACAGGCTCACACAGATCATCCAATCTGATGCAGAAAAGCCTGGCGTCCGGTACCCTCCCATTGCCATCCAGTCCCAGAGACGCCGAGCGTCCGTGGGCGGGACAAAAACCAGCTTGTATCCAATGACTCGTCTCCGTTCAACGCATTGGGACAACCTACCCTGAACTCTCGAGACGTTCGGCGTCCGGGCAGTGGACTCTCTGCGGACGCTCAGCGTCCACCGTTTAAAGCACAGCGAAGCTGCGGGAATGAATGCGAAGGGAGTCGTGTCGTAACCAGTAAGAAGAAGCTGATTCGGAACAAAAGTTGAGCAGTTGTAGCGCATATTTAGTCAATGACATGTACACACAATGAAATTTACATTCATATATTTGATCACTTATTCTTTGACATTTTAGGGGAGGCCGAGCTTCCCTTGCAGTCCGAGAGCAATCGCCACTGTAATGTACATACATTGGCAGATGTTAGTTTCTGCATTAAATGCATGTATAGTATATATATGTACTCAATATGAAGCCTGTACTTAAAACACAGCCCAGAATCCTAATCAAACATTATAGTAGCGGATGTCATTATGAATCTTATTATGAATTTACTTCTCATGACTTTAAATATTTTGATCACTGTAATTGTCGTTTTTTATTTTTTATTAACAGAACCCATAAAACAATAAATGATCTGACGAAATGAAAATGACAAAGATGAGGCTGTCTCTTACTGAAGTTGCAAGTAGGCAGAGTTCAGTGTCCTGCCCTCCAGTTCCATTTCAGTTAAATTACAGATGCATGGCCCAAAAAAAAAAAAGAGCACCATTTCAGCCATTTTAAAGCGTTCTCAATAATTTACACAGTGCTTCTGAAACTCTTTCCTCTTCTCTAGTTTGTTTCCAATGCACTACCCCACAACCCTAAACAACCCTGTAGAAACAAATACGGTACGTACACAACACAAAGACACTTTAGGCCTGATATTTACTCTCTCCTAAGGGCAGTTCAGAGCCACTGTTGCTAAGTATGACTTATGCTGCATTCACCCCCAATTTGGAAACGATAGAATTCTTTTCCGTAACTCAGTAATATGTATGTCTTCCAATAACATTTCTTATTCCATGAGTACAAACTTCATTTTGTGCTAGTGGTGTTCACCATGGTGAAACATATCAGCGTCACATCAAGCAGAAACACTTTTATACTGACACTTTTATACGTTTTGCCAATGGAATCTGTTAAGAGTGGACAAACGTGCACTGTAGCGCCCGCAATTTGGGATTGAAGGTGCATCGATTAAGT